GCATCTCTCATATGTCTTCTTAAATGCAATCTTTAATGAGCCCCAGGTAGGAACACCCTGGACAGAAGTAAAGCCTCCCAGAAATGCCAGGTATTACAGTGGATTTGTGTGTAGCAAGGCTGGAGATAACAACCTGCGGGAGCTGAGGTGTGTTTGGTTTGGAATTCACTACAAAAGTGATGCAGATCCTCTGGAGCCAGGTGGAGGGAGAGATGGGCTCTTTGCCTGTGCTAACGTGGTGCTGCTGCTCTCCCAGATCCTGCCCGGGTGGTGAACATGCCCCCCATCATCTACGTTCCCATCGGGATACACGGATACATCCGCTGCCCGGTCGAGGCAGAGCCCCCGGTCACGCTGGTCAAGTGGAACAAAGACGGACGTCCCCTGCGAATCGAGAAGGTAATGAAGCCCCTGAGGAGGGACACGTGGGGTTCAGACCCTTGTGTCCTTGGCCAACACCAGTGAACATCACTGGGCACCCTGTGGGGGTCCAGTCTGCCTGTTGGGAAAGGAGAAACCCCATCTATGGGATGATGCTGCTTTTCCTTATCAGCTGTGGGCAGAGTTCTTGTGTGTGGCCCAAGGCACCGGTAGACACACTGTGTCTCTCAGACCTTGTGCCTGCTTCCCCCTAAAGTCACCTCCTGATGGCCCTGGGTTGTTTTTGCAATGGTAACTGGTTGTTAAAAGACCCTTTTAACAAGTCTCTGTCTCCCTCTAATCATGGTTTGATAGTCTAAGCAAGAGCTCAGGGTGCCTGTAGACACCCTGCGTCTCCCAGACCTTGTGCCTGCTTCCCTCTAAAGTCACCTCTTCATGGCCCTGGGTTGTTTTTCCAGTAGTAACTGATGGTTAAAAGACCCTTTTAACAAGTATACATCTTCCTCTAATCATGGTTTGATAGTCTAAGCAAGGAGATTAGACATTAAATATTTAATGAAAATTCTCAGTTTGTAAAATTTTTTTGCTTAAATATTAACAACCCTAAGTTTTAATTCCATTTAAACCTCTTGCTGCTCTGGGTTTCTGGGATTTAGTGCCCTCAGTCCCTCAGGTGGAGTTGTCTTACCCAGGACAAGTTTTATTTGGGGTTAGATTTTGATTTTCTGGACTACAAGGATCAGCCTGGCTGTGCTGTAGGGAGCAGAGTGGCTTCAAGATAAACCTGCATGTCGTTGGGTGCATACAGAGCAGCACAACCCTTCCCTGAAGGGCTGTGTTTGGCTAGGCTGATCTTGCCCATGTTGCCACCGTTGAGGAGATGACTTGGATGTTGAGAACGGGATTGGGCATCTCCCAGGGATGTGACAGCCACCCTGGGTGCAGGTTTGGCTGAAGGGCAGATAACAAGCTGTGGTGGGTGTAGGATAAGGCAGCTCCTGGTTCTCACTGCTGCAGTATGCTGGCTGGAACCTGCTGGAAGACGGGTCGATCCGGATAGAGGAGGCAACTGAAGATGCTCTCGGCACTTACACCTGTGTGCCTTATAACGCCCTGGGTACGATGGGCCAGTCTCCCCCTGCCCGACTGGTACTGAAGGTAAGTTTCCTTCTAAAATCCCGTGTCTTTGCCTTGAGCAGTGTTCTCTTGTGCCAAGAACAGCTCCTGGAGTTGTGTGGGGAACAGCAGAGGCTTGAGGGCAAGGGTGTGTCTGTGCTGTGGTTGGAGATGTGCTTCCCACCAGGACAGGTAAACCCTGAAGGCATCCTCTGCCTGGTGGAGCTGGAAATATCCTGCTGGAGTAGCAGCATGGGTTTCTGCACCGGCTGGACCAGCTGGTGTATCAGGAGTATAAGGCTTTGGTTAGAGCACTGTACTAGAGTAGTTGGAGGAAACATCTCCTTGGAATGGCCTTTTTGCCAACAAAACACTTAGCCCTGCTGGCCTGGGCTTGGTTCAGGAGGGTTTTAATAAATGGATGATTTGAGCTCCACGTGCTCTGGCTGCGTGCGGAGTCTTGAGTGTGCTGGGCTCCCAATGCAGTTCCCAGTGCAGCTGGGGTGGAAGCTGCTGCCTCTTCCTTCCCTGAACAAGAAGTCCTGTGCCTGGGAGTGGTGGTGATTCATGGTGTCTCCACAAGGTTCACATGATGAGGCTTTGTGTATCAGACACACACATCCGCTGGGGCGGCTGCCTGGGCGAGGAAATCAGGTTGATGTCTGATGTGTTGTGGGTGGGTTTTTTCCTGTTTCAAGGAGGTAAAAACCAAGATGCTGTTCAGTCTGGAGAAGAGGAGGTTGTGTGGAGACCTCACAGCAGCCTTCTAGTAGCTGAAGGGGCCTACAACTGGAGAGGGACCCTTCATCAGGAATTGTAGTGCTGGGATGAGGAGTAATGGGTACAGATTGAAGGAGGGGAAATTTAGGTTAGATATACAGAAGGTATTGTTCCCTGTGAGGGTGGTGAGGCACTGGCACGGGTTGTCCAGAGAGGCTGTGGCTGCTCCATCCCTAGAAGTGTTTCAGGCCAGGTTGAATGGGTCTTGGAGCAAGTGGAAGGTGTCCCTGCCCATGGCAGGAGGGTTGGAATGAGATGATCTGTAAGGTCCTTTTCAACCCAACCATTCTGTGATTCTACAATTCTATGCCGCAGTGCAGTGACTCTTTGGAGAGAACTTCCTTCCAGATGTATAATTTGGGGTACCATGGAGGCTCCTTAGCACACATTCTCTATGCAGCTTTCCTTGCAATGCCCCAACCTTACCCAAAACAGGGATTTGGAAAAGGGCTGGTGTGGGTGGTGAGGAGCTACTCACGTGCCCTGGGATCTGGGGCAGGCTGACACTCCTTGTTTTTCCCCTTGGCTGCAGGACCCCCCCTATTTCACGGTGCTACCAGGCTGGGAGTACAGACAGGAGGCAGGGAGGGAGCTGTTGATTCCTTGCGCTGCTGCCGGAGACCCCTTTCCCATCATCGCCTGGAGAAAGGTACCCGGCCTGCCAGACAAATCTGCAGTGCCTTTGGCTTTTGGTGAATATTGCAGACAGAGAAGCCACACTCTGTCCCGGTAAGAACAAACTGCAGGTACAGCTGCTTCGCTTTGGGCTGAGCCACTGCCGTCCTGTCCCGCAGGTGGGTGGGGGAAGCCTGGCTTGTGGCCACCCGTTCTGTAACCCTGTG